AAAAGCTGCTTTATTTATGTCTAGAAGAGTTGGTGCAACTGACATGACCATATCTGGGACTGGTTGCATTTCTCTTGATTTAAGCCAATGGGATGACAAAATTGGATTGCCCAATTATGTAGATAAGCAATGTATCTATTTCTTGCTAGATTGAAAAAGTCATCTCACAGTCATTAGGCTGCTCCTGATTTATACTTATAGGTCATCTTGTGTATATACAAAATGAATTGCTGAGAAGGTTTGATTTCTCTCAGTCTCATCCTTTTATCCAATTCCAGACATAGCAAAAATAGATGCTTTCCCTGACAGTCCTAAAAATACCAGTCAGTCCAGTCGAAGGGAACACCAGGCTGAGCTATTAAGAGAAAGGAAATTAATGAAAACAAATTAATGACTGTTACGTTGATTCTAATACGACTTGCACATATCACACCTTTTTGATTTCAAGTTGTGTTTGTGGGGTTGCAGTTTTAAAAATACATTTTGTAGCGAGAAATAGAAACTGAATGACTTTGCATATTGGGTTTCTGTTCAGCAAACTTATTTCTTCCCCTTGAATTAACAGTGTTAAAGCATAATTAAGTGGAGTCTGGATGTAAACCAGAATGGAGATGAAGTCTAATGTGGAACATCTTATTTGAAAGATGCTGGTTGAGTGATTTGGCCACGTGGTATTTTTTTTTGTGACTACTACTCTGCATGCTTAGCAAACTAGCACTTTGAGAGTTAAGTCTTTTTCTGAAGCTCAGTTGATTTATGAGACTGGGAGCCAACACAATATTTTAATCACCATAAATGGTCAGTATTGCTGAGCATGTGTGTCTGCAAAGGATTCAGGCTAGGCATTATTTGGCTGCCTTATTGTAAAGCTCTGGCATACACTCCTTTGGCAGATTTAAATCTCTTTTCCTGAAACTAAACATTAGGGATTATGATTCTTGTTGTACTAAATTTGGATTTAGTTTATTTTGATGAGAATTTACTGATGAGAAAATAAAACCACTATTTGGTTAGTTTTAAACTAGCCTGCTTGTGGGTTTTCTTTTATAAAGGGAGAGAAGTTATTTACTTCATTCTGTGAAGTGATAATCATTCTTTGATGCACAGGCAAATAGGTATCACTGTCAGCTCAAACACCAGAACCAAGACAAAAAAAAAAGTGTTGAAAATTGTGAACAAGAGTTAGATATTAAGAAATGAATGCACTCACCTACCCTTCCTTTTATATTTCAATATCTCAATTATTGGCTGCAGAGTTTTCCACAAAAATGAGTGTGTCCAAAAAAGTCCAGTTTCTCAGGCTTTCGGGAACTGATAAAGTTTTGAGAACAAAAGTACTTGGGGTGATAGCAATATTCATAGGAGATTTTTGAAAACTAAGAATAGAAATTTGGCCATTCTTGGGCACAACAGGCAATTCCTCAAATCTAAGAAAAAGCTGAGAATTTTTCTCAGTCTATTCTGAGACACCATTCCACATTACACTAACCATGTTATATTTTGTCTATAATAAATAAAGAGTGTTGGGAAGGAGATATATCTATATATTATAAATATATAGCATTTTTCTTCTCTCCTTTGCCCCCCTCCCCCATACTTTGATTACATTTGGAGGCACTTAACATAACATGGCCATATGAGAAATGAATGAGGGATTACATTTAAGAACTACCCATGTAAGATATACTGAAAGTTGAAAAGGGGAGGGGGAATTTAAAAAATGGGTCTTTGAAATCTTGATGAGAGAGGGCAATATTAAGAAAAGTAGAAGTCCATTAATTGGCTAAGAGATACTAGCAGCAATGATTGGGGCCTTCTCCTATTTGCATTCCTGGATGAATCAGACTGCCAGCCACATACTAATCTGAGCTCTTGAGGTGTATTGTCAAGCAAGTGAACAAACATTAGGAAGGTACTTTAGTGCATTCCTGTTTTAATACATCAATCCCCAGAAGGGATCGTGTAGAATCTTGAAGTTGGCACAGGAATTAATATCCTTTCAATATCCTGATAGTTTTGGCTGTGGTCATGGGAAACTGTCATATGGGCAGAAGAAAGTAAAGACAGAGCAGAGGGTACTTTCTGCATGCTGAAAAAAGTATTCTCTGGAAGAAGCACTTGAACCTAAATCTCTGTGGAGCCGACTTGAGGAGCATTGTATGCCACTCACAGTTGGGATGCTGATAAAAGATGGCCCTTTTCATTCATGAACAAGCTGCTCTATTAAGTAAGAAGGAGTGCTGTGGGAAAGTTATTTTTGAACTTTATATGTAATAAAAATGCTTTTTATGATTTGGAAGTTTCCTTTTCCATTTCTAACCATTCAGACTAAGCATGGCCATTTTTAGGTTGGTAATTGGAGAGGCTGTTTCTTGTTTTCTCATTGGAATCTGCATCCTGTGCCATTGTAAGTTCCCAAGGTTGGAGTGCAAAGTATTAAAACTGAAAGGAAGAGACACACATATAAATGTGGCTGGGGGGGAGGGGGTTCATATTTAATGACACATTGTACGATTACAGGATGTGAATTTTTTTTAAAAAAAAGAATTAGGGTTAATATTTCCTAATCTCTTGTCAAACTATTTTATTCCACTATGTTGTACCTTTCTACTCAAAGGTAAATTGTACTGAATTCAAAAGCAGAATATAGATGCTCAGCATCAGTTCTCAGTGACTACTGGTGAGTTATCATTGAATTGGTTCTTGGGCAATGTGTTTCGGAATCTAGATTGTGTCACTCTGATTGCACATTTATAATTGCCTTGCTCATTTCTTTAATATAACCATGACCTGATGATAATATACAGAAAGCTCCATTGACCAAAAGAGGGAATTTAATGACAAAGTTCATCAATTCTTCAATGAAAAAAGTTTCCTACACAGAACAAGAAGAAAACATTTAGTTAATATGTTTAGATGGGCTAAGGAATAATGAAAAGTATTATTGCAATGGAAACTTGCTTCAGTATAAATTTCAAAGGAGCCTGTCTGTTGCTAGCCGCAGTAGAAGTTAAAGCGTCTTGTAGTGCCTTAAAAACCAGTGTATTTATTCTTGTGGCCCATTTGATCAGATAAAAGGTTTGCTCAGCTAGGTGGATAAAGAGAAAAGAAATATGCACAGATGCACATTCGACATTCTTATTTGACTGAGATAGATAAAAATATATAATAGCACCACTTAACACTGTTTGTTTATATGTCCATAGAATATCTAAAGCTTTAAAAAAATGTAAAGTAAGCTTCATTTCTTAAGCTTCTGTATTTGCTTATGCAGTGAATGTAAAGTATTCATAATTTTTCTTCCTGAATTAAGGTTATAAAGATTAGAACCAAATTAGTTCTATTACTGGTTTGTGGGTGTTGAGAGCCACAGTTTCTAAAGTAGAGATGGCAGTTATGTCAACAACCACCAATCATCCAGCTTCAAAGCTAAGAAGTACAGGGCAAAAAGTCCACTGAACAATAGGAGGGCTAGGAGAAAGAATTTCTGGAATTAAATTACAGTGTGTATAAAAAGAGGATTGTACCTTCATTTTGACAAAGGACAATGAATCATTTAAGTGGCTTCTTCTAGTATGCAATAAACATTCTTAATTAGACATGCCATATGGCTGGTCTTGCAGCCTTAAGATGAGTGTGTGCCAAGAGTCCAGTTAAGCCATACTGATTAAAGTATCCAGGAAATTCTAGTAAAGACATGCCAATGAGCCTAACATACCATATGCATGCTTATTTTAAATACTAGCTAAGTGTTAAATGAGAATAATATGCAATGAAATAATTACATAGATGTTCTTATTTGTTTGAGGTTGTGTTCCGGAAGTTTTAGATCAGGTTATTCCTTCTGCTGTATTCCTTCCTGTAAATAAGAGGAGAAAAAGCAGCTTGTTAAACCATTTCCTTTCACTAAAACAAAAGTTCCCAATTTCAGTCAGCACAAGGATCAGACCAGGCTTTGTGTGGCATGTCTGTGGTTGTACCCTAAAAGTAGATGAGATTAAAACAGGTCTTGGGTCTTAAGTGGACATAAGGCTTATTTGCAAGCTGGAGATATTTGCCCCTCAGTTTACTACCAAAATTCCAAAAAATGCAAATAAAAGGAGCGCTCTGGAGGCTCAGAAGGGATGCTGATGACCTGCATGTGGTTCCTAGGCCACTCCTTCTGCATCCTGACCTAAGGGCAATTTCACTGCCTGAAGATGATTTTCACGAACATGATGGGATTCCACCAATTGCAGTAATCATGGAACTGGCTTTTTCCTAACAGTATCTATCTTTCTTGAGTTTTCTTCACAACATATAATTCTTCCATGTAAATATAGTACAAGGTACATCATATAGTATGAAAACAACCTTGTGGATTATTTTCAGAAATACCATTCACTCTTCTTTATAAAAGGTTTGCTCTTTGATGCTCTTGTCTGTGGGTCCTCTCCCCCCTGCTTCAATTTTTATTGTCTTTATCATTTCTTACACTAATAGCTGCAAAGAAGCTTTGTTAATCTCCTAGATAATCACTCACTAAAAACAATTTGCCATAAGATACGTTTGAGCCAAATGGCATATTTAGGCAGAGGTTAAACTAGAAGAATAATTGTTCTCACTATTTATACAAATTTTGTAGGAAAAAAATTGAATGGAAAAGATCTTTTAGAAAATTTCTCAATACCCAAAATTAGAATGTGATTTATTATTATTTTTACTTCTATCTTTAGTAAAGATATGTAAATAATAAAATGGGTGTTATGTATTCTATAACTATTTCAGAAATTTTTGCAAAACAATTTTGAATTAAAATACTTGATTAGTAATAATAATCTGTAAATGTAGAATTATATTTTTTCATGTAGATTTCAGCAAAGGCACTGACTTGAGTAGTGCTGAGAATAGTTGTTGCACATTGGAAATGGTGCTATCCTATTAAATTGTGTTCTGATAAGAGTAACTGAATCCTTTATACAAGAATTCCTTATGGGTAACAATTATGTCTTTTATTTAAGCAGAAAAGAGGAGCAGAATCAAACTGGAAAGTGCACATGCAGTTCCAGCCAACAAAACCTTTTCTCCAGTCCTCCTGAAAGGCCTAAGTGACCTCAAGGTGATGGATGGAAGCCAAGTGATTATGACGGTGGAAGTTTCAGGTAAGTGTTTGTGTTTTCTAGTCTTTGGGAGGAAAAGCAATATAGAAATAAAACTAAATAACAAATAACTGTTCTGAATTTTAACAGATATTCTGCTATGTAATCAAGCAGTTTTTAAAATTTATTTATTAAATCTATACGCTGCCCATCTCCCTCAGAGGGTGATTCTGGGCGGCTTACAATTAAAATCAAACCTCAAAAACAGTTAAAAATATAAATATTCACATTAATTTAGTTAAAAAATCAAACTATATAAAAAGACTATATACATAGAAAGACTATATACATAAAAAAACTAAAACAGTCAAGATGATGACCCAAAAGGATACCATGGTCGATGATATCGAAAGCCGCCGAGAGGTCAAGAAGAGCAAGGATGGATGCACTACCTCCATCCTGCTCTCGCCAGAGATCATCTAAAAGTGCGACCAATGCTGTTTCTGTCCCATAACCGGGCCTGAAACCTGACTGATAGGGGTCCAGATAATCTGTTTCCTCCAGGATCTTCTGAAGCTGTCATGTGACTACCTTTTCCACCACCTTTCCTAAAAAGGGGAGGTGGGAAACTGGATGAAAATTGTCCAGATGGATGGAATCTAGCGATAGTTTCTTGAGGGGGCAGACCAGGGCCTCCTTAAAAGGCTTCAGGAATGCCCCCTCCAGCAAGGATGAATTGACCACTGCCAGTACCCACCCTAATGTCACCTCCCTGGTGGCTTTAACCAACCAGGAGGGACAAAGATCTAAAATACAGGTAGCCAGACTAACAGCCCCGAGGACTCTGTCCACTTCCTCAGGTCCAACAGGTTCAAACCATTTCCAGATAACTGGGTAAGTCCACTCCCCGGGTATCTCCACTGGACCTGCATCACTTTTGGCCTCCAACTGGGAACAGATCCAAGCAATTTTATCTGTCAGGTGTTCAGTAAATTCCTCTGCATGGCCCTGTAGGTGGTCCTCTGAGCCCTCCCTACTCAGGAGGGACCGGGTGACCCCAAACAGGGCTGCTGGGCAACACTCTGTGGATGCAATAAGAGCAGAGAAATGATGACATTTCACTGCCCTTATCTCCACAAGTTAGGCCTTAATAACAGCTCTAACCCATGTTCGGTCAGACTCGTCCTTAGTTTTCTACCAGCAGTGCTCTAGACGTCTCTTGGCTCTTTTCAGCACCCTTAACTCATGGGTTAACCATGGGGAGTGCTGGGGGCGATGGGCCAAGAGAGGCCACACAGGCATGATCCTGTCCAAGGCCCCGGCCACCTCCTTATTCCAGGCTGCAGCCAGGGCCTCCGCTGGACCATGCATCAAGGCCTCAGGACCAACCCCCAGCAACCTTTGGAACCCTTGTGGGTCTGTCAGTCGCCAGGGGCAGACTGTTCGAATAGGTCCCACCTCCCTGCAGAGGAGGGCAGCATAGGAGAATCTCAAGGCCACCAGGGAGTAGTCTGATCGTGACAAAGGGTATAATACCAAATCCCCCACCAGATCATGCTGCCACTGCTCTGACAAGAAAACCATGTCTGGAGTGTGACCACTGTCCTGAGTCAGGCCATGGAGGACCTGGGATAGGCCCATGGCTGCCATGGTAGCTATGAACTCCTGAGCCGCCTCCAAGGCCAACCCCAGGGATGGCAGATTAAAGTCCCCCAAGACCATAAGCCTGGGAAACTCCACTGCCAACCCTGAGATGGCGTCCAGCAGCTCAGGCAGGGGGTTTGCTACACAGCAGGAGGCTGGTACAGAAGCAAAACTCCCAACTGATCCCACGTGCCCATCCTCAGGAACAGGGTCTCACATCCAGCAACTTGTGGAGCAGAGTCCCTGAAGGCCAGCAGAGATTCTCGGATGACCACTGCCACACACCCTCCCCTACCCTGGGGTCTCACCTGGTGCCAAACCCTAAACCCGGCTGGACACACTTCCGAAAGGGCAGCATCCCCTTCTGGTGTCAGCCAGGTCTCAGTAATGCATGCCAGGTCAGCCTGCTCCTCCCCAATAAGATCATGTATTAGGGGGGCCTTATTATTGACCAACCTGGCATTCATCAGCAGCAGCCAAAAACCCAGGCCTTTGTAGGTCAGCTGACCAGGATCTGGGCTTGATTGTAGAGGGCTGGAACACCCCACCGGTATAACACATCGGGGCCTGCCCTCTGGCTCCTGTCATAATGTCCCATGCCCATCACCACATGAATACCTGCCCTGAATCGCCCAAGGTGATCCTCCACCCACCCTCCTGGCCTCTGCCCTAAGGGGCCCACCATATCATAAATCATTCAGACCAAGGGGGAATATTGGGGGGGAATGGGCCCCTGTGGCACTTCAGCTATCTGCTCTCAGCGCCAACAGTGGTTAGTCATCCCAACTCCCCCTTCCCTTATCACGCTCCCTCTCTCAAAGGTTTTTTGCCTTTGGTTCATGGCTGCTACCTTTTTCTCTTTATCCCCTTTTTTCTTTTTTAACTTTTTAGCATTAAAGAAGTCAGGGAAGCCAACAGAGTGTAAGATAAATAGATGGCTCTCCTGCCACTGTAGAATAAAGAAGTGCTTGAAATTTGAAGAAAGGAAGTTAAAAGCAATCCATGTCTGGTATGGCTAAAAAGCTAGGACGTTTTCATGCAACTTCTCAGTGGTAGCTCCCATTTTATGGAATACTCTTCCCTGGAAATAGAGATGGCCCCTACTTGGCAGGTATTCCGAAAACAAACTAAAGCAGTTCTGTTCCGGTGGGCATTTGGCCCTTAGGTTAACCGAGTGGTACCTTTCATACGTTGAGCTTTACCATTGTTGATTTTTATTATATGCTTTTTGTGTACTTCTTTGGACTTTGTTGTAGCTTGCCCAGAGCCTATTTGGGTTAGGCTATAAAAATTGTAGTACAAACAAATAAATAGAAGCCTTCGTCTAGATCTATGGAAGAGTAAGAAATGATTTGTGAAAACTCAGTTTCTCTGTTGAATAGTTGGATTAAATGGGGTGCAAAACAATAAAACGCATAATGAGAAAAGTGCCCAAAGCATATTTGAATAAATTATTACATCTATTTTGCAAAAGACATTTTCAGAAGGTTAGAAAAAAGGGTGGGGGAGGACAGATAATGGTGCAGATCCACTAATTCTGGGACATAATATGTATGTTTGGGCATGTTATGCTCTTGATAAGGACCCATAAAATAATAGTTGATCAGGCACAGGTGCATTAATGTGACTAAAGTCAAGGAACTTGTGTGTGCATGCATGTGTGTGCAGATATGAATTCACCAACATGCACATGTTCTGTAATATAACCCTATATTTTACTCAGAATAGATCTTTTTAATATTACCATGGCAGCAGGAAGTCGAAGTGAGTTGCTTGTTCCGCCTTATCTTAGGGTTGCAGTTGGCCTAATAGAATAGTTCATAGACTTCCCCTGTTGCTTTTGTTTTATCTCAAAGACTTCTGTTTTGTTTTGTGGCTCAGCTAATCCACCTCCTGAAATAATTTGGCTTCACAATGGTAAAGAAATCCAGGAAACAGAGGATTTTCACTTTGAGAAGAAGGGCAATGTGTACCGCCTGTATATCCAGGAGGTATTTCCTGAAGATACAGGAGAGTACACCTGTGAGGCCTGGAATGACTTAGGAGGAATTCATACTAAAGCAACCCTGACTGTACAAGGTAAAGTATTTATGTCTATGTATCTATATGTCTCTCCCTCCCTCTCCCTCTCCACCCACCCACCCACACACCATTTTCTGCATGATTGAACAGCTACACAGGAAAGTATTCAAAAAGTTGAGAACTTCTCTGTCTCTCTGAAACTCTATCATTTCACTTTATATACAATTTTTAATGGATATTTGGCCATATAGTTCATTCTGCTTCACTAGGAAGAATGCACTCTGATTTCTATATCCAGAAAAGAATATTGAAGTATTAAATGAGAATACATAGATTTCTAAAAGGTTATGATGTGTTTCTGCAGAGGTAAGAAGTGTAGAGATATGACTGTCTGACTGAATATTTAGCTCAGAAACTTGGTTAATGATGAATACATTTTAAGATCAAGTTACAATCAGTATATTTCTATTTATTGTTTTCTTACTTATGAATGAAACAATGGTAATATGGCATAATCCTGAGCAGTTACATTTATTTGCTTGAACAACCGATGGAATGGAATATTTATAGATAGAAATTATGTTTATAGATAGAAATTGCTATTTACTAAAATAGCAATAATATATGTACTTTTTACTCCTATGTACACAATGGCCTAATTTGGACATGTCATGTGTTTAGATAACTACAGGCCATAAAATAATGGCTTTGAGTAATCTAAACAAGCAAAGAGGGAGGAAACCCATATGTTGCATGCATGGACACAGACATAGCGTCTGTTAGCATTTCCAGAAACCAAGCATGTCTTTTCCCAGAATTGCGCTGTAGCAGTTCTGGGAAAAGCTGCTGCTGCTGCCGCTGCCGCCGCCACCTCCACTTTAAGAGATTCCCAGTGGGTGCTGTACAAGTGCCCCCTGAAGCACCACTTTTACCCTTCAGATCTGGAGTCCTGCACAGGCTTATTAAACACTGCTTCTTGGAGCAGCACTTTCAAAAAGAGCTTTAATGTTACCTTAGCTAAGCCCATGCTACTAAACCCAAAGGAACCCCAGCCCAACCATTGGGAGTGTAGTGAATGAGGGCAGTGAATCTTTGCGAGCAGAATGAAGCAAAAAGTATAATGAAAGCAAACATTATTTAGCCAGAATGAGTCACCCAAAAGATAGCTGCATGGATGCTGCTTGTGAGAATATGGAAACTTACATTGGGGTGAGAGTGCACCCAGACGCTTTCTTTGAGGCATGGATTGCTTTTTTAGGCCTGTGCATCCCACGTACATTATGTGCTAGGGCAGGGATAGGGAGCCTTTTATTGTTGTCAAGGTCCACGTTCTTTTAGGGATCCCGTGCATGGGAGTAGAGGTCCAAGGCAAAGTGAATGGAACCACTCCCTTTGCTCTCTCCCCACTCTCCCCCCCTTTTTTTTTCTGCCACCCATTTCTCAGTTTCTCTATTTCTGGCTACCCCCTTCACCTTCTCTCCCCATGTCTCTTTCCTAGCACAGACTGTCAGGCAATATTCAGGTAGCTTCTGCCACAGGTCTGGATTGATTGCTTTTAAAGGGATGGTCAATAGCCCGAGAACTTGATGAAATTAGGCCTAGGGCTGCAAGCTCCTCGTTCCTGTTCCAGAAAATATTGATGGAGTAAATAATGATGAAACAGTTAACATAGTTTGTAGAAATTTTGCCCTAAAATATCAGCACAACTAAATTATAACTGTACTTATAATACATATGCATACATTTCCCAAGATTCACAGTAGATGAGAAAGGGTTAATAATTAAACTCCTGCATAATCACTCTTATATGCACAGAGTTATTTTGGTGTGAAGCTGATTGGGGTTTATAGAGAGATTTTGGCAATCAGAAAATTTGCCAACTTGGGTTATGATTAAATATAATTAAGTTGTGTAAAGATTCAGAGCTTGTTAATGAAACTGTACACTAGTGTTTTCTAACCTATTACCCTCAGGTATGTTAGTCAACAAATCCCATAGTTTTCAGCCCACGTGGGAAATAAGAGGATTCTAATCCAATGTATTTGGAGGGCACTAGGTTGAAGAGGGCTGCTTCAGGATTTTGGAAAAGTTGTATAGAAGTCAGATATTCTTTTGAATTTATTTATTACTAGGACTATAAAAATAGCAAGTTAACAGCTACAAAGATATCTCTAAATACAAATACCTCCTCCTGAGATTGTTCTCTATGTGGGAGTTACCCTTAGCTAAGATCCCTTGCTCTCCTCACTTAAGAGTATGTAAAGCTGTCTCAAATCTTATTAATTAATTAATTGTTATGAGTTTCAAGTCAGAATTTTAGGATGCCAGTTACTGATTTTTTGGACATTTCAAGAGTTCATCTTCCCATTCTTCAGTTGTCTAGGTATATAAAGTTGTCTTCCTTCAGTTTGTTTGCTTAAACGTTACCCTTCTCTCCAGCTCACAGCAGACCAGATTTTTTAAAAAGTACACACTGTGTACCATCTGGGTTCTGGCTTTTTGTCTTAAAGACTTCCGATTTCTGGAACAAAAGAAACATGGAGATCCTCAGGAAAACTTTTTTTTAGAGTCAAACAAATTTGAAAATGCTAAGCCATCATCTCTTCACCCTAGAAAAAATAATGTGTTCACTTATCTTTTTTTTAATTTCCTTCTTTTTATCATTCCTTCTGTATCTATAGACCACCTTGCTTGGTTTTTTTTCCTTTTCTTTGAACCAGTTGTAAGCACACTGGACATGCTGTTGCTGTAGCTATGATGGAAACTTTTGTTACAGCAAATAATAACTATTCAGATGGAGATTACCTGATGTGTTCCCCAGGAAAAGGGATGGATGGATATGTACATAATGTGCAACTTTTCTGTGTGTTGTGCAGAGTGGCTTATGATAAAGTCTGAATCTAAACTTTTAGTACTGTTACAGGCATGGGCTTTTTATTTATTTATTCATTCATTCATTCATTCATTTTGAAGAGGGACCTACTAACTCGTGATGCAAAAAGATGAAATAAAATTTTAAATGAAGTAGCATGATCCCTTACTACATGCTTCAGAACACAGCATTTCTATAGGTTTGTTTGCACATTCACAAATGGCTGCTGAGGTAGGCATGGCCAGTCACAATGCACCCATTTAGTAGAAGATAAGCCCATTTTCCAGAAGATGCTCTCTATCTCTCTATCTTTGACTTTATGTCAAAGGCATTTTTGTAAATATATATTGCAGCGTGCTAGCTTCCTGTTTATTTGTTTTTATTTTAAAAAATCTTTATAAAAAAGTCAAATGAAGTAGAGAACACAATTCAGCATTGAGGGAAGTATCTGGGGTTATATCTTGCCTACTTCTTGCCTACTTGCCTACTTCTGCTATATAGAGAATTGACAAAGATTATTCCTCCTGCTGTTGCACTGACCAGAATATTGTGAGTAGGATTTCGGTTCAGAATATGCATCCAAAGGATAATAGCCATAAGATGGTTTGTCATAAGTAATATGTAGACCCAACTGAAATTTAGGACAAGTGATCCCACCAATGTTATTAGGCTTTCTCTCTGCCTCTCTTACCATTTTTTCTTTGTGTTGCAGAACCTCAGGATGGCATTCAGCCATGGTTCATTAGCAAACCACAATCAGTGAGAGCAGTAGTGGGACAGAATGTCATTGTTTCCTGTGCCATTGCCGGAGATCCATTCCCCTCAGTTCACTGGTTCAAAGATGGACAGGAACTAACAACAGAAGCAGGCTATGAATTCCTACAAAATGAAGACATCTTTACATTGATTATAAGGAATATTGAGCCCCATCAAGCTGGCCAGTATGAAATACAACTCAGGTACACCAAGTGCAAGTATATATTTATAGGAGGAGTAGCTCTTTTAGTCACCTAAACATGAACAATAATAGAGAACTCTCTGTTTGCCACCCTTTAGTGGTTGGCTGGAGATCTGCAAGGTAGCCTTAGGCCTCACTTACCTAGAACTTGGAGCAACTGGGGGTATAAGTATTCAAACTAAAAGGAATTGGAGTGCAGAAATGCCTTACCGAACCTTGTAGATAGTCAGGAATGTTGACTGTCTCCCTCTCCCCCAGTATTTAAAGGTTTACCTTTTTTTTCTCTAGTTGGTTGCAAAAAAAGGATAACGCTTTCTATCTGATAGAATGAACATTATGAAAGAAAAGAAAAAGAGGGATTGTCCCCCCCCACACACACACACACACATACACACACATCCCTCCCCTGGCTTCTCTCATTTACATCTTAAATGGACGTTCTCAGTAGCATTCAGAGCAAAAGAGTAACCAGGAGTCATAAGTCATGCATATATCCTTGCTCAGCAGAACATCTCTTGTTTTTGCACTTAAAGTGCTAAAGGCCAGAACTGTAACAAATATGTCAAATCAACTAGTTTAAAACTGGCTTTTATAAGCCATACCATGGATTTCAACAACAGCACACCACAGCCTGAACAGAGTTAGTACACATTTAAGCTAAACAGGCCAACCAGTAGAGAGACTTTTTGTATTTTTAAGTGCACTTTGAAGTCTCCATAAACAAAAAGGGCATGAGAGAATGCCGTGGGCAGAATGCAAGAGAATGAATAAACAATGACACTGAAGTTTTAAAAAACCCCAAGAACCAACAGTCAAAGTTACTCTTTGCTTTTCAAATGCACTCAAAGGCAAAAACTGCAAAATGAATTGACCAACCAAAGTAAGCTGTCAGTGTAGAACTTTTGAGAAGTAGACAGTAATCAAATTCTGTTGATGATGGCTTGCTGAGTTTAGCTGCTCATGTATTGTGCACACTCCTTTGTCCTATTGATTATGGAGCTTGCAGAGTGCCTTTGGAGATGAAGATACTTCATACTTTATATAAAGACTAGAGGTGTGCCATATTTGGATCTGAACCAGACAAGGGTGCTGTAGATCTGGCTTAGGTATTCTTGCTGTACCTGTTGGCTTCTTAATGGAGCTGTGGTTTTTCCTGGGCTTCCATAGTGACTAGCACAGCTACTTCCTCTGTAGCACATTCCCCAGTCAGTCTTTCTCCAAAGATAGTCAAATTGAGAATGGTTCCTTCACTGTGGCATGTGCTGCTAAAATGCCTGCTAGTTCACTCCAGAATTCTACCCAGATCTCCTCCCACCTAGCTGAAAGCAAAAGTGGTGGGAACATGATCAGTCCCTCCTGCTGTGCTGGTCCAGACAGGTTAATTCAAGAGAAGACAGCCTAGTTGCAAGAGATAATTTGCCTTCCAATCACATTAAGATTTTTTTTAACACAATTGTTAATTGATAAGGTACTTGTAATCTTATCTCACATGAAACCTGCTTCTGTAGGATCAATCAGGCTTCCCCTCCTTTCCCCCCCACCTCATTCCAGAATAAATCCTACATCAGTTTAATCACTCCATACATCTGATGAAATGAGCTGCAGTTCACAAAAGCTCATGTCTTTTAATAAAATGTGTTAGAAAAGGTGCTATCAGAGTCCTGATTTTTTGCCATCATATACTAACATGGCTCTCCTCCTATGGTGTCTTCTAATCACAGTGGCTAAAACAAAATGAAACATTTCAAGTGCTGCCATCCAGAACAACTGTGTTTTGGACAGAACAAGATGGCTCCATTCAAAATTGTTTCCAGAGCAAAACATCTGAAAAATAAGTTTCAGTCCAACTCCGGACCACTGTGAAATTATCTGGTCTATGCCAGGGGTCCCCAAACTCTTCAGCTTATTGACCCCTTCATGAAGTTTCAGATTGTTCATTGACCCCTAAACATTTATTATATGAAAACACTTTAATAAATACTACTTTAATAGTACTACAAATAATAATAATAACAATAATAATAGATAAACGAGGCCAGTAACAACACACAGCTGACAGGAACAACTTAAGGCTGCTTTCGCTGGTGGCTGACCATCCAACCCTGAGTAACACTGTCTCGCTGCTAGCCACTTCACCTTCAGGACTAGGGACTGGCATGGAGCTCTACAGAGACCCCAAAAGATTAATTGACCCCAATCAACCTTCCATAATTTATTGACCACCTATTGACCTCCAGACATTTACTGACACCCTTTTGATTCCCAGTCAAGGAAAGGCTGGAGCTGAAAGAAAGCAGGATTTAAGAATACCTTCAAGCTATGTATCTACTTTATCAAGCGGCTACAACCCCATCTAGGACAGCTGGTTGCCCCATTTGCCAAATACATAACAATGCATTGTGTTAATTAGACTTTCAATCAGAGATTTTGTACTCTTAGAAAGAGGCTTATCAAGCATTTATAATATTACACAGCGATTATCTATAGAGTTTGAATTCAGATTCTTTTTAAAATTATACTTTCAAAATATGAAATGTTTTAACTAGTTAAAACAATCAGATTATTTTTCCTTCCAGGCAAGACTGATCAAATATAAAACTATATTCCCTGGTATGGTCTTAAAAAACATAATTGCACAACTTCTTACTGATAATATCATTACATGCTATTTACTGCACTTAGATGTATTTCCTTATTCGGTGAATAATATTTATTATGTTTGACCTACATTGCTGTTTTGGCCTGAGATACTTTAAACAAAAGGTTTAATATGCTACTTTTTAAATTTGATTATCAAACTGTTCAGAATGAAGGTTTCTTTCACAGCCTAAACCTATGAATGGAACTTTCTTGAAAGTAAGTTCCACTATATTTGGTAGGCTTTACTCCAAGATAAGGGTGCCTGGTTTTGCAGCCTTCGGTGTAATCCTTAAATTTTACTATTCACAGTTATATGTTCTCTTTATTAAAGTTAATATTCAAATGATTATTAATATTGCTGCTGTTACTATTTATGGTAAATGGGGTCATCGTTTATCCTTAGGTGCCAGGGAGGTTATGTGTGGTGGGTTTGTGGGTCTTAGTCCTTTAAGCCATTCAGAGTCACTTGTGTGAGATAGGTGGGAATGTAAATCATAGCAATAAAGAAATAAAGTTATTATTTTCACATTTTATATTTATTTTGAATATAAGTGGAGTTGCTGTGGCAATAGGCTTTCACTGTGCTTGTGGTTTAAACATAAAAGTACAGATGTGTTGCATGGATTGGGATCAGGTTAAGTTTCATATAGAAATATTTTGGGACCGAAGTTGAGGGTTTAAATATTATGAGAGATGAAAACAGTCCCCCCTGGGAAGAAGTAAGGACCGGAAGACACTAGCCTACAGTTTTTAAGGGTTCTAATTATTTATTGCTAAAATGAAAAATATTTATAGATTATATGCATATTAGAAGCCTACATGACTATAATTTGTAGATTATGGAACTTTGCTTAATATTTAGCAGTATTGGATGGATTTATGAGACTTTGCTATCCAGCAATTTGCACAACTGCAACATCTCTCACTTTTAAGCATCAGTTGCTTGTGGGTCCATATTTTACAATATGCTCACTAAACTTTTTCATTGCAAGCACAACTACCTCACTTATAACATATGAATCATCTTGGTAAATTGGCTAATCTGTTTGCTTTCTGTATGTTAAAACACAGGGTTCATTGGTCTACGTTGTGCTAAGATATAAAGTGGTTTGTTTGGCTTTGTTTAGGTGTCTCTTGTGAAGCCAGCTATTGCTATTTGTAAGTCATGGTTAGTGACTTGCGGTGTTGTGTGTACATAGCCAATTGTGGTTTATTCAAACCATGATTAAACAAACCATGGTTAGCACAACATGTGAACCTCTTCATGGTAGCTGAGCACTGACAGAAGCTTGAATCAAAGTTAAAAGCAACTGCTTCAAAATCTAATTCAGTGTTTGGGATACTTGTGGGATAATTGTTGATTACTTAACTTGAAAATTACCTATTGCTGGGACTCTCATGTTTTCAGAACTTCATAAAATGAAAATTGATCCTTTTTAAATAAAACTTGGAGCTGTGTGTGTCAGCTGTGCTAAATCTTCTCAGAATAATTAATGTAACTAGTACCCATCAATACCTGTTTCGCAACAGCTTTTCTCCCAATATTGCAATAAATACCTATGGGTCCAAAACTATAGAAAACCTTTTTATTAAGAGTGTAATGTTAGGATTGAAACCTTTTTCAGGGTTAAAGGCTAAATTCTCTTGGGCAATGGAAGTATTTGGGTGGGAGTTCAGTTTTGGCCCAAACCAAAAATGGACAAAATACTTTTTTTCCTTTCTTTCTGGCTCTTTCATTCAATTGATCATCCTATTAACTTCATTCTCAAGTTAAGGATAGTATGTAAACAAACAGGGTTTTAATATTTTTATTCACAATCACATTTCTATAAACTTGCCCCAGCTCTTTACTAGCATGCAAATTCTGATAGCATTCAACTGGAAATATGATCCTCCGCAGAAATAAATTTCTCACTCCTAGTTTAGAAATTATGCTCTGATTATATACATAGATGTAGCAATCTAAAGATTTTTTTTAGTCTTGTGTTTCTATTTTGAGGAGGTTGTTAAAGTACAGCCATCTTGAAAGTAGAACAGGTTTTATTTGAAAAAGAACAATTCAGATATTTCTCTTAATGAAATTGGTTTAAAAAACCGACCACTTTTAGACCTAGTTCTGAGGTAGCAAAAACTTGAAAATCCAACTGATAAAATGTCCACCTCTTCTTCAACAGTTGGCAAAGAAAGCTTTTTTCATAAAATGGCAAGCTGCTTAGGATGTGGTAGCAGTGTTTAAACAATCTGATCTTTTTTTCTTTTTTCTTTTTGCAACTCTTGGGGAGATGTACCACTTGAAGATGTATCTGCTGTGAAGCATAACGTGGTATTGGGGGCGGGTGGGAAGAGGGGAAAGTATTTTAATGACTTTAATGGGAGTCATTTTCAGCAGGCATCTCTGGCATTCCTCTGCAAAAGGAAGAATAAGTGCTCAGCACCATATATGGTGACACTTTTATTATTATTTTTTAAATATAAACATGCACAAGCTGAAACAATCCATGCGGGTTGATTATGCTGTTTGATGGGGGAGGGAAAAAAAGGAGCAGGGAAAGGGGACCTTGCTTTTAATGTCTTAGTGTTAGGAAAGTTAAAAGCTTGGTCTTGTATAAACAAACACTGGGACAAGGATTGGAAAGATTTCAGGCATTGCAAAGCAGCTCTTTTTTCTTTCTGCTACTTATTTTCCTTTAGGTTAGTTGTGTAGAGGTGTATTCTCTTCTGACTCCCACCTGTGGCTTTATTTTGAAGAGAAAAATTTGGGGGGTGGGGAATAATGTTTCTTTCTAGCCAATGATGGAGTAGCTATCTACTACTGTGATGCTTGGCTGGGGAACGGAAAATTTAAGCATAGTGAAGGATTGTTCTGTTCTGCACACTATCTAATAGAGAGCAACTTTTCTTGCTGAGTCTCAGTTTGTTGTACTTTTTTAGAAACCCAGTTGGAGAATGCAGCTGTCAGGTATCTTTGGCGCTGAGAGAAAGTTCATTTTCCAAAGAAGAAACACAGAAAGAGTGAGTACAGTTCCCAGGGACTTACGTGGGTGGGTTTTATTTTTTGCTCGGCTAATTCTCTTTCCTCGTAGACTTGGGTTGGCTGCTGTTCAATCTAATCCCCAAATGTGACCCAACAAGCTGTTTTCATCATACAGCTGACAACGTGGAGCACTTTTTTAAACATTTAGTGCCCTTATATGGTTCTTGAAGTCATCATTGATGCAATAAACTATTCCTCTAATCAGCCTTCCCTTCTATAAACATATTTTGTCCTAGCTCTGAGGGGGTGATTCCCCCTCTGATTCTGTAAACCAGCTCTTTGCTCCCCCTCTTTCTTTTTTCCCGCCCCTTCCTCTCTCCCTCTCAAACCCTTCTCTGCTTACAGTGGGAGGCAGAAGGAACAGCAAGAGGCTGATTGTGGGGATGATGCACTGATATTCAGAAGCATCAGTGGCTCCTTCAGGAGGAATACTGGGGAGGCCCAGCAAGTTGAGGAAGAGCAGGAGAGTGTCCGTGGAGTGCTCAAAAGACGAGTAGAAACACGAGAGAGCACAGAGGAGAAGCTGAGGCAACAGGAGGCTGAGCAGATTGACTTCCGGGACATTCTGGCAAAGAAAGTTAACACCAAAAGTTTTTCTGAGGAGGAGTTGAAGGAAATCCCAGCCAAACAAATGGACTTCCGTGGTACCCTGCAACGGCAGGTCAAGCCGAAAACTTTGTCAGAAGAAGAAAGGAAGGTCCATGCTCCACAACAGGTAGACTTCCGTGGAGTACTGGCAAAAAAGGGCACTCCCAAACCTTCCTTACTAGACAAGGCAGCAGTTCCAAAGCCAACCACCCCAGATTTTAGATCTGTGCTTGCTGCAAAGAAAAAAGCACCAACTGAGAATGGAGGACCCGGGACTCAAGTCCAGAATGTGGATGCTAACTCTGAAGTGCAGAAATCTAGCGCCAGCTCTAAAGTGCCAGGTATCAGCATCGCCTCTAAGGATCCTGTGGCATCCAAGAAGTTGGATGCTACCAATGCCACTTCTAAACTACCAGAGACCAGCACCGTTTCAGAATCCCAGGATACCAGCTCTAGATATAAAACACAGAATGCTGGTAGCAAGAATGAAGACCAGGTTACTAACTCCAGCTCTGAAATACCACATGTTAAATCAGGAGAGAAAGAGGATAAGAATGACAGTAATTGCCAAGGTGGTTGCCTGCCAGCAGTTGATGGACGGATAAATGAAGAAAAAGGAGAAGACAACAAAACAGAGCCTAAGGGAACAGCACCATCCTTTACAGAAAAGCTACAGGATACCAAAGTAGTAGAAGGTGAAAAATTAGTCTTGCGATGTCAGGTTTCCTCAGATCCACCTGCTGCTGTCGTCTGGACTCTGGATGGGAAAGTCATCAAATCATCAAAGTTTATTGTTCTCTCCCAAGAAGGTAAATTGATGTAAACAGTAAGGCAGCCACATTGCCTTGCTGTTTACAGCCTAATTCTTTGATTTCATTATTCTTAACTTATTACATATATCACTATACTTTAGTTCTGTCCCTGTAATTGATTCCAAATTCGCCAGTTTTTGTTGTGCAAGAAGCAAAGCATAGTCTTATTAAAATGTTTCCTGCAGATTCACCTCTAGCAACTTCAGGCACATCTTTTATTACAACTTAATGTCTTTAAATTCAGGATTCTGTTTCATTTAAATATGGCTTAAGGTTGTTAATTTTAATTCTTTAAGAATCAAAATGTGACTTCAGATGAGGAACTCTTCCACAGCAATTGGATCCTTTCATTTTCAGTATCTAAATCCTGGTATAATTTCCACATTAAATGAAAACTTTTGCCTTCTTGCTGAAATTGAAACAGCAGAAAGTAAGGAAATAGCTTTGAGATTTATATTGTTTAAATGTGTTCTCCAGTCCAGAATTATCTGAGATAAAATTTAGGGAACTTAACTCCCAATTTGCTCAAGTTAAATATTAATTCACGTTGATATTATTTGATGATTTAGCTTCTACTACACTATAAGGATGTTATAGCATTATTGATAATGTTTAAACACTGAGAATATGCTATTTCCACCAAACCTGAAGGTTAAATTATAACATAAATGTTATCCAGCCAAGCTGTATCTGCAGAAGTCAGAACATTCTGTACCAAACATTAGACGAATCTTTACTTATCTGGGAGCCCCTGGAAGTTCATGCTGGCTGGGAATTTTGGAAGTTAACATTTGAAAGGCCCTGGACTGAAGAAGGTTGAATTAAGACCATTTTACATATTATATTTTACATACTAAGTAAGATGGATGTGAATGGTCTTGATGTAAATTAGTTCTAGTTATATTTCTTTTCCTCATCTCTTCCCTTTCATTTTTTTGACTTACTATTTCTTACTCCATTTCTGGACTTTACATGACCAACTGAAAGGTAATAGCATAATGGCTTTGTATATGTATATATATGTCCAGGGAAAGAGAGAGAAATGATTGTGTACTGCCTCAAAAGGGATTGGAACACCCAGAAGAGATTTAATATATTGAGGCACTTCAGGTGATAAGCCATGAACTAATGACAGGATTTTTTTTTAATCAGATTCATCTTAATATCTTACTTGCGTTCTGCAATCCATATTTAAAATTGCCATTCGCTAATGGTATATGTCAGGTTGTGGCAAACAGAGATGTAAAGGAAAAATTGTAATATTACTTTGCTATTATTTTAACAAAAATAAAAAGTAAATACATGCTTTTGAAGATAGATAAAGCACTTTTTCTTCACAGGAGCCTATTACTCTCCATTTATTACTGAGCAGCAACACTTGTCATCCCTCATCATTAGCTAGGCTGGCTGCTGGGAACTGTAGTTCAATACCAACTGAACAGCCACAGATTCCCTATATTGGCCACAGCTCAACCTTAACGATCAGGATAATCTTTGGGAAAAGTAAGATCAAAGGGGGTTTCCTTTTTCCATGGGTCTCTGTCCTCTCACCACCATAACAGCTGGCTGTTTGTCAGAAAGAGAGCTGGTGAAGTCGTAGGCAGAAGGGTAGCACTGGCTGCAGTTCATCCTCCTTAGTGCCACTCATGTGCCCATCCATTCTGTACCAAAAGGACAGGTGAACAAGCACATGGGCAAAAACCTTGAGGAGAAAAAACAGAGCTGGGACTGATTCAGAAGTGGGGCCTTTTAGAGGGTGTGAATCTTCAAGACTACCTACAGGCCACCATGTTGACTTCAACATTCCGTGATTAAGTAAGCCAGAACAGGATATGAGCTAGATATGGGGTTTGACTTGATGAAATCAATTTTTAATATTATAGCAAACAATTTTTTTTTCTCATTACTGCACTTGCACTTCTCTCAGTTAAAAGGAGGCAGAGATACTACCTACAGGGACATATAGCAATAAACTCTTTCTCATTCATCTATGCATAGTTTGCTGGTAACAAATCTCCTAAAATATAAATTCCCCATAATGTTTAATAATTAATCAGGAAAACAGTCATCCCTGAAATTGTAATGTTAATGGTGTTCTTTACTTAACTGTAATATTACTTTAATTCTTTATTTTAATAAATCACTGTATATTGATGTGAAGTCTAGGCTTTGCTACTTCATACTCCAGGGTTGTATATCATAGAATGGAATGCTCCTCTATACAAAACATTTTTCTTACTAGATATGAGAAACAAGAGTTGAGCCTAATTGTTTCTCTGACCTTGTCCTTGGCTCCCTTCTCTTGTGCTTGTGAGTGTATCTTCAGGTCAGTCTTGATTCCTGGAAGTGGAAGAGGACTATAATTCATGGTCTTCTGGTTTCTATCCTGGTGCCTTTATCCACTTACCTGAAACTGGCTCTCCCTTGGGTACCTACATAATAGTTTTTCTTTCCTTTTCCTTTTTTTTTTCTTTTCTAGTTTTGTTGAGAGGATAATTCCATCATATAAGAGCCCACTGAGCTAGTGAGGGCAAAGATTCAGGTCTTGGGCTTTCTCTAGGCAGCTTTGTACCCATACTACCTCATTCAGTGTGTGCACCATATTACCAAGCCATTAACTATGATATCACTAGACTTCCTTTCAAGCCCAGCTAAGATGGCATATATTACAAAAACCATTGTAGAGGAGGTTGATAAAAATTACAGCTCCCAGCATCTTAAACTCCCAACCTTTCTAAAATTAAAATGCTGATACAGCAGAACCCAGAAGAGTCCAGTCAAGGACAGGCAAAGGAAATTTTCTCCTGGTTTGCAGCTCCATTGCATTGAATGCTTCAGTGATGAAAATCCAATCCATTGCCTGGGGCAATCGGTCAGTGAATTGCACCTGACATGTGTATGAGAGTGAGATAATGCCATTCCTGAAAACTGATATGGAAATAAATGTTAATGATAGCTATTTCTTTTGTGTTGTTGTGCCCTGCATTTCAAAGGCATTGTTCATAAAATATACTGTGAACAGATTTTTCTAGCCTGAATTTCCATACATCTGTATCACAAGCTGATAATGGTTTACAACAGATTGGCCTTGAAAATCAAGTGAACTGTTAGTCCTAAGAGTTCGACCCAACATTCTTTAAATGAATAAATAAATAAATATTTAACATGGTGGATATATTAATTCTCCCTAGCTAGATTGTTTTTGCGTGTGTCATATACCTGATCTTGCAAATGCACTCTGAAATAATAACTCTAATTTACAGTTAACATTAATTTTAATCACTATGGAGAATGGAGAATCTATCAGTCTTACACTCTTAAACATTTAGCTGATGAATTATTGTGTTATAGCAATTTTAATTTTTTCATTAAAACATATTCCATTATTTCCTATAATTAAAAATGAAGTTAAATTTCTCCTGTTCAAATTTCTGAAGAATTTCTCTTCTGCTAATCTGGTTTGAATAAAATATCATTGTACATCTCTAAAGTAAGGAGATTTTGATTTTTTTTTCTTTAATAAGTCCCTTAACCAAAGGCAACTTTTGAACATACTGAATTTGTAGTACAGAGTGAAGAAGTAGGATCCAGAAAAGTAATTCATTCAATAATGCTTCAATTTAGAGCTATTCATTTTGCTTTTAAGTGTGCAGGGGGTTGTCATTGTGCAGGTTGGAGTAATTTTGAACATTTGATGCAATTGTCTTCTAGTTGAGCCATCTTATTCTAAGAAACCATAAATTTGCTTAGGATGAATTGGGATTCACTTCATGCAGTAGCTACAGTAGAAGAAAGCAGTAAAATATTTATTTGACTAAGCTAGGAAGTCATAATTCTTTCACTGGTTTTATCTATTTACTTACTATATGAGTGTGTGGATATATAAAAGACAATAACTGAGTTTGTTTTAATAACTATATTAATCCCTCAACTTATATCCTTGTTCTCACTGTAATTTCTTTCTTGTGTCACAGTTACTCACTTGGCTCTGCAACCTCAGTTTTTGTTCCGTTACAGATGAGAGTAGAAAAAGTATTAGTTTCTCCTGAGATGACATTTGTAGTTCAGATGATAAGTATTGTACCCAAAGTAAGATTATAATTTAGTTATTTTAAGACATCACTCCTGTACTGGTTTTCCTGAGAATAAGGAATCCTGATTAAATGCATTGGGGGTATATGCATAGTTCTATCATTTTTACCCACTTCTTCAGCCAAAAAAAGGCAGTTTATAAAAATCAGTAATCAGACAACCCTGTACTCAGGCTAATGAACTAAAAATATAAGAAACATGGAAGGAGATGGTGGACTGGACTGGATGGTATTCATGCATCTGCATCAACTACATAGGAAATTTCTAATTCTGAGTTTTGGCCCATCTAGGTCTCTACCGATTGCTTCCCAGTCCCTATACAGAGTTGTCAGAATTTGAACCTGGTAAAGTAATGCAAGTAAATCAGTGAGTCAAAACCCACTGTTTCCAGCCCACCACTTACCTCCTAGGATTGGTATAGGAAAAAAAAAGTATGCCCAATCTTGTATAACTATTCTTTCAGCCAATCTGTAGCAACTCTCAATAAGCTTTGCATTTAATCCTGGCCTCAAATTTTAAGCAGTCTAGTGTAGTAGGGAGAGGGTGCATTAATGTTACTCGGAGCTAACTCACCTTAATGGATTTAAATTTCTACAAGGCTGTTTTTGAATTGCCAATGCATTGATTGTATCCAGTATCCATAGTAGAAAGAGTAATCAGAATCAAGCTTTAGGCCTACTGTTTCTTGTTGTAACATTATCACACACTAGTTTTCATTCTGAGATTTTACTTCTTTTTAGGGCTGTAATTAATCAGTCCAATTGTGTACCAATTCACTGGTTAGCCCTGCAGAGATTTTGTTTTTTTTTTTAATTAAGGTTTAAAACAAGATTGATAAAACAGCAGATAGAAATTGTCTTACCATGCTTAAAACGAATGCTGCATTCCAAAAGAGAGCAGGTATG